ATTATTATATACACATCTCGTTACTCTCTCCGCGGAGAGAGATGCGATGTGAATCAGGAGAGACAATAATAATAAGAGGATTTAGTTGTTGCATCGTGCGGTCTATAATTTTGAGGAAAAAATTTATATTCAAACTAAATGTTTCATCAAAACGCCGACAGCGATTCCCATCCGTGGAGAGAGCCATATGGAACCGCGCGCCGCAGCCGCTCAGCAATAACACACGACACGATTTCTCGAAAAATGTATAATAATCTGCACTGCGCCGTTTTAAAGGATATATGATTGTTTCAGATGAGTGCGCTTTTGTGAGAGAGAGAAAAAAATTACAGTGTCAGAGTTGAGGGAAATGAATTGGCGCCAATTATGCGTTATTTTTTATGTGATTTCGGGCCTAAACAGAAAAATAAAAACGCTGCACGCCGACGATTTTCCTTTTGAGTGAGTAAACACAGCAATCACGACTCTGAACGGGAATTTTAAAGGTCTCTGTGTATGCGAATAGCTTTTTTTCTAAAAAAAAATTTGTTTCAAAAATTATGCTATGCATCATATCAAAATTGTAAAAAGATAGGTTGATGTATGGAAAATTATTGACTCAATCAATTTCTCCCGCATTAATATCGAAAATTATTTTCAAGTTATTAATTTATATTATGGTTATATCAAACAATCTAATATACCTCACACCAAATAAATTTTTCATTTTTCATTTCAAACATGATAGAAAGTGATAACAAAGAATATAAAATAAAATTGCTAAAAACTTATTGCAAATATTAGTTAATTATAATGCATTTAACATCTCATTGGGTCTTATATAAATTTTTGTTATTAAAAAAAATTAATTCAATGAAATTAAAATAAATAAACATTTATTTTAATTAAATATAAAAATTTATAAAGCAATTATTAAAACTTTTAATAAATGATCATAATATTTTTTAGAAAAACACTTTCAATAAAATTTTTTTTATTCGTCAACGTTTCTCAGCAGGGCCGATTCGGACGCACATTTGGCGGCGAGCGAGGGCTCGACGCGGGCGAGCGGTGGTGGCGCGCGTTTCGGGGTGTGCGCCTGTGTGCTTTCGGCTCGGCGCCGCCGCTCAATGCTTTTGCAGCAGCGCACTCATTTGGCTGCGCCTCCGCAGTCGTACTGGCAGACGGCATGCAGACACAGAAGGACAAACGCAATGAATTCTCCCCTCTCGGTTTCATCTGTGAATGCCGCCGCTGCGCCAACATACAAGCGCCGGCTCCCCTATTTTCGTTCTCTCTCTCTCGCTCACACTGCGATTTCAATTGAGTGTGCGCCAACAGACAGACACACAGACGCAACCAGCACAATAAAAAAGCATTTCTCTCTGGCAAAGCGGGCGAGAGAAAGAGAGAGAGAGCGAGGTGAAATGGCACGAGATTTGTTCGCTGGGGGAGCGTCGGCGACAAAAAGCAGACACCTGTTGTATATTTTATGTTATTCCGCCAAAAGAGTGATTATTTTGTACGATTGCTGTTTTATTTTTAGATGTTTACAAATATACACAAAACAATTTATGTTTGTTTCGTTTTATTTATTTTTTACTCGCGGCTGGCAGTTCGAGGGCTTAATTAATTTGAAATGGTTGCGAGCAGGCAGTAAAACTGTCAGGAAGGAACCCCCTAATTTCGCAGCACACACGCGACCAATGCGCGCAATAAAAGTGAAAAATTGAGTTGTAATTCCTAATGATAATTTATTGTAATCGATTCCGGGCAGGAGGGGCAATAACACTTTGCAGATAAGATAAAGGAACTGTTTTAATAAAATAAATGTGAAATTCAGCAGTTAATCTATTAAAAGTATGAATACGACATTTGATATTTATATTAATTACTTCCTCCGCTATCCGCGAAACGTGTGGAAAACGCGATAAAAATGGTAATTAATTAATTTTTCTCTCGCATAGAGAAAAAAATAAAAATCCAAGTGAAATTTCAAATGGAATTTCAAATGAGGCGGCGAGCGTTGAGAAAAGTGTGGGACACACAAATCCCAGCGGAGGCGATGTTGAAAGAGCGATTTTGGCACGCAATTAGCGGGGACAAACAGAAAAGGAAAGGAAAAAGTGTCTCTCGTGCTTTCAATAATTGGGGCGGCTCGCCTTTGTTTCTGGGCGAGATTGCGTTCAATTATTCACGCGCGTGGAATGAGAGAGGTGCGAGTGAGTCCCTCTCTCTCTCTCTCTCTCACTCTGCAGGGACTCCTTGTTTGAGTCGTGTAAACACACAACACACGCAGACTGCTGTGTGTTCTCTGTGCAGTGATGATGATTGTAAAACCACCAAACCAACCACCAGCATCCATGCAATGTCTACATTTACAATTGTTGGAGCGCAGCAGGACGCTCCTCTTTCGAGATGCCCCTCGCTGTTTAATATCTTCTTTTGGGGATGCCGCGGCTCCTTCTCAGGCCCACCGCGTGCTTTTTGATAAACCAGGCTATTTATCTGTCTGTCTGTTTGTATGCGAGAGCGAGCACGCTGCCGCGGTTAATTCAATTTATTGTTGCGCGACCCTCATTGTTGTGGAGCGTGGAAAACAAACTCAAGTGAGGCGAGAAAAAGAAAAGATTCTCAGCTTCGACCCACGCTGAGAGGAAAATTAGGTGGGAGGTGCGAAAGACTTGGTAAAAATATATGGAGATGCAACGGCGACAGGGGAAAGCAGAAAGGGGCAAGCAACCCGCGCCAACTCTTTGACGAACCGGTTGCATACCTTTGAAAATATTTCCCCACAAGAGCTACAAATTGATTGTAAGTGGATTTTTTTTTAAGTTTGTTCATATTTTAAGTCTAGCATATCAACATTAAGACATAATTTTAATTTCATTAATGTTTATTATTTTTCATCTTGATATAAATTTAATTAGAAAAATGATATAGTTCCATGGTTCCAAATATTTAATCAAAATTATGTCCATACAAGCATACAGGATCCCAACACAGCCCAAGCCAAGCAAACTTTTTCAATAATATAACACTACAATGCCAAGTCTGAAGATTTTTTATAAATTTAGAAGATACAATTCTGTAAAACAAATAGTTAGAAAAAAAATTTAATTATTTTAGTGTCATACATAAAAATTAACTAAATATATTTAATAAAATTTATGATAAATAATAAAATTTAAAGAATACATTTATTTAAATTACTACTAAAAAATAAAATTTTATTTAAAAAATTTAGTAACTAATTTAAATATAAATGTTTTTTTTTTATAAAACAAGTTAATTAGAATTTTGAACAATAGGCCATTCCAATCAAAGTGCAGCCAATCAACTAAGCGTGATTTTGACTTATTGGCCGGCTGCACGCAGAAACAGAGATTGCTCCCCATCAGAACAACACGAGAGCGTTCGTCCTGTCGCTGATGAGATGATGTGTTGGCCGCGTTATTGTTTGCACTTGCATGTGAGTGAGTGAGCGAGCGACTCTATACATGTACGTATAAATATTGTTGCAGCGGCGTCGATACACACACAAGTTATATAATTCGACGTGTGTGTGTGTGTGTGTATGTATGTGTATATTATCTGGGGAAATAATGGCCCTCTGCATGGCTAGATACAGATATTGCAGCCAATAATATTGATAATAAGACCAGTCCCGGCGTAGCTATTTGAAACAATATTATTCGGTGCTGATTGACTATACTGCGTGTGTACAGAAGGAAGGGGTTATTACACTGAATGCACTCTCCCTGTTTGTATGCACATGCATACAAACACGATCTATTGTTTATATCATATTTGTGTGCGCCGGCGAAAATTTTAATCAAGCTGAAAACTGGCCACATATAGTAAAAATAATCACAGATAATGGAAACTGACTAAAATCTTTTCACTCTCAAACACCGCAGGTTTTTCTACAGCAAAGTCTAATATGATTATCATATTTAAAATAAATTACTTTTTTTACTTTTTAATATTAATTAAAATTAAATTGTCCTCACAATTATTTTACCGATTTAAAGGAAAATCTGATAATTTATTTTCCAAATTTTAATTCAGCGAGAATTACGACCTACCCTTCCAGATCAGTTTTGAGTGTTTATGTGAAAATATTTGGGTGTGCAGAAGGCGGCTGGCTGGCATATTATTATCACAAAATCAGAGAGACAGCAGAAGCGCGGCGCAGAGGCCGACGGCGTTTCCGTTTCTGTCATTGAGACATTTCATAATTGTGTATTTAGAAAATTGCCGCTGAGCGATTGTTTATTTTTTAAAGTTGTGACATGTGTGCTGTGTATGACAAATAGCTATTTTAAAATGCTGCTCTGCGGCCTGCTGGTTATTAAGCCCACTTTTTTGACACAACTCTTGGGCTTAACAGAAGCAGTCGTCGCGACTCCATTCGTAGACGGATTTATATTTATGCGTGCGTGTTTAACTTAAGGAGCAGATGAGAGGAGCAGTGTACATAAGAAAGAGCTAGAGAGTGTATCACACGACTAAATAGCTTTTATCTGCTGCGCTCGAGTGGCCTGCCGGCTTTTATTTTCACAAGTCGCATCTGTATTTTGTTAAGAGAAAGAAAACTGCCATCGGGCTCGCAGCGCCAAGATATATCAAATCAAGCAAATGTTTGGATTCAAAAGTGACATTTTATCATCTTACAAAAAAAAAAATGTAAATTTCTTACAAGCGACATATCTATTTAAAACTTTTGATCTACCCCGCACATCCGCGTGGATTAATCGCCGACCCACCCTGCCTTTCGGACGTTTATTAACCCACCGGGAGGAGTAAAAGCATCGATTTTCGCGTGCCGTTCCACATCCCTATTAACCGCGCGCGCTCATCATCCCCCGAAACACACGGCGTGCCTATATATACAGGGAAGAGAAGAGGGTTGTATAAAGTAAAGGGGAATTGTATATAATATACGGACGACGATATCAAATCTCAAAATAGGTTTTATATAAAAAATTGTGGGACTAGAATTGAAAGGGTTGTCTTACCTGGCGGTGGTGCAGTCCCTGTAGAGGACGTCAAAGTCCTTGCAGCACAGCAGTTTGCATCGGTTGACGCCGGGCTGGATGGCGCCGAGGCCGCGCAGGATGCGCACCTGTTCGACGTTGCAGACCAACGGGACGATGTCGAGTCGCTTGAGTTTGGTGTAGACGGTGTGGAGGCCGCCGACCAGGTGTTTGAGGAAGAGTTCAAACGCCTGCGGCAGGCACAGCATGGTCTCGCCCGAGATGATGAAGGCGGCCACCTTTTGGCCGCGGTACTCGACCAACTTGCACTCGTTGGCCGTCGGGTCGTTGCTCGCAATCGGAGGCGGACTGTTGTAGGAGGCGCGCTCGAGGGCGGCGGCCGCGGCCGCCGCCGCGTGGTGGTGGCTCAGTTCGGCCGGCAGGCCGGCCAGCGAGCCCATTGCAGACATCAGGAGGGAAGGGTGTCCCAGCGGAGGCGGCCGGCCCATCAGGCCCAGCGAGGTCGGGGTGGCGATCGGCGAGCCGAGGGGGCTGTTGCCCGAGGCCGGCGACCGGTGGCCCGGGGGCGGCATGTGCATGGGCGAGGGTGAGGCGGCCGGGGGTGGTTGGGGGGCCACGACTGGCGGCGATGACATCTGCTTTCGTGGTGACGGCGAGCTGCGGTCACTGCTCGATGAGTCCATGACCGAGTCCATGCTCATGTTTCAGGCCCAGAGTGCTGTTGTTGTTGTGTGTTGTTGCCGTTCGTATATGTGTGAGTCGCGGTGTTGCTTGCTCTTTCAGTCGATCCGATTGCGACGCACAAGAAACTGCTTCTGCGAGGGTACCCGGCACCGGCCAGAGGAGGAGTGTGAGTCCCACTGTTTCATTCTCCACATGCGCCGCGCCGTTTCTATTGGTGCCGCACTCGGCGCCGCCGCCCCCCGCCATTGGTGGAGCCGCTTAACGGCTCACTTGTCAGAAGGGGATGCTCCAATCGTGTCCGTTTGTTTCTCTCTCTCCGGCACCGCCGCCGCCGCCGTTTTTATTATTTCGCCGTTTCTTATTCTTCTCTGCGCGCTGCGTTTTCCGTACGAGTCGATCTGCAGCACCGCGGCACCAGCGCCCTTTGCTTTGCGCCTCTTGTTTGGCTCCGCCGGCAACCCCCTTCAGCCCTTTCCTCGATTTGCATCTTCTGGCAAAAGCTGCTTTTTATTCGATTCGCGTGAAAAATGAGCCCTTTCCGCGAGCTGATTGCGAATTTCCAGACCGTGCGCCGGGAGAAAAGTTTCCTGCAACATAGAGAAAACGTGTTAAACTTGCCTCATCATCTTATCGCAAAGAAATAAAAAAAATTGAAAATATTTGTTTTTGTAACTGTTGAAAATGCAATCAAATCATATTAAATGCTTTTGTAATCAAAGAAATTCTCTATTTATTTTTTTCAAATTTATTATTATTTTTTTATAGAATTAAAATTCAATGTAGGTTGAGATAGTGAATCTCAAGTGATTAAGATCTACTGGAAACTTATGATAAAAAAAAATAATTTAGCAGTTAAATTAATTTTTATGAATTTACATCATGCCCATAACTCTAACTGTAAATTGAATATTGGGTATTGATATTTCAATTTTTACAACTGATTAATTTAGCACGTGATGAAAGAGACCTAAAGGAAAAAATGTGGAATCTCTGCGTGATGTCTTTTAAAATTTATCATTCACCCAAAACTTTAAGTATTTTTTTCCTTTTTTTTTAATCATAATTTTAAAATTGCTTAACAACTATGCTCTTGGAAATTAAACACATTAAGTTGAGAGTCGATACAATGCTAAATAATCCACTGACTACATAATTAATCTGTTTTGAGTGGAACAGCACCCTGCTCCCTCTAAAACAATCACTCTCCAATCTGCTCAAAATTCCTAACCAACACGCACAACTCTCGACGAGTCAATTCATGGTGTTGAGGTAAAAGTTGCAAACCCGGTGCGGATATATATTTGCTCCAAATAAACGTAATCAAACATCATCAATACAACGCACTGGGGTTGCTCAACAATACACCTATGATATATACGAAGCTGGGGGCGAATGTGTTCTGCCGTTGAATGTATAGGCAACCCTAGACACACTCGCAGTCCCCCTCTCGCGAATATATGCAAAGTAGTGCGCGTGTGATCCACATGGGTCGCGAAAATGCAAAATATATATAATGTAAAAGTCGGAGCGGCGTTTTTATTCTTAAAAGCCGCCATCTATTAGGTCAACCCTCCACTAGCAATTTGAAGGGGTGCCGAGCAACCAGCGATGAATTTACCCTTGGCTGACTGCGAGCATCTCGCACTCGATTAAATTGCCCGCCACTTAAACCGCGTGCCCTACTTTTCCTCTCTTTTGCTGGGCAGGAAGAAAATTCTTGTTTGCAAACTTTTGAAAATCATAAATCATGGAAAACAAAAATTATAAATTATTTAATGTCAGTGTGAAAAGTTAGGACAAATAAAAAATTAATGAAAGTTGCAAGAGAAACCATTCAATACTATTTTCAATTGGAAAAATATGTTTAATATTTTGACCCTTTGAATATATTTTTCAAGATTGTTGAAGTGACCGGTGCACAGTTCAGTGACCTCCTTTCTCGCCCCGAGGCACTATCTGGCTTGCTCATCGCGGGACAGAAAGGGGTGTCGCTTATGCTTCCCGCCGCTCCGTCGCTTCCTTCTGGTTGCATAATGCACATCTCTCTCTCCTCTTTCTTTCTCTTTCTAATCTTTCTCTCCCGCCGCTCTCCGAGTTATGCAATCTGCAGCGCATCTTTATTGCATGCGGTTGCATAAATTACAATTTGCATTCCAATTCCACGTCTCTAGCCTGTGTGCAATTTGCTTTCTGACTCGCCCGCCTGGCAAAACCTTATTACATTTTAAAATGCAAATTTAACCTCTAAATCTAGTTAGTGTAAAGACTTTTATTTTTTTATTTATGAACTTTATCATAGATTGTAACAAAGACAATTTTTTTTTTATAAACACATAAAATATTTATACTCAATAATCATGGAATTTAAATAAGTTTTAATTACTTTGCTATACAAACATTTTATTAATTTTTTTATAAATCATTTTTTTAATAATTTTTTAAAACTCAATCATTTACAAAATTTCATATAATTGGGAAATATGCATACAAGTTATACAAAATATATCTAAAGATGTAGAATTATTATAAAAAATTTATTCTATCTTTCAACATCTTCTTTATTAAAGTTGTGAACTCAAATTTCTATTAGCCTGCATCAGTGTTCATTTGATAATATCATTGAGTAAAAAGTAATAATTAATTAATTGCCAATGTGAACAAAACTCAAAATTTTTTAAATTCAGTCAAACCTGTAGTTTGAGAAGCAGAATGGAAATATATTTGCGCTGCCAGAAATTTTGTCTGCAAATTTTTTTGCCTTATTTCCTGATAATTTAGAAGTCGAAATTATGCATTCATACAAATATCGGTAGGCGATAATCAATTAGTGGGTCGCAGCAGCAAATAATTAGCGGTGCCGAGCGAGCGGTCAATATTGGACTTTTTCAAACAAGCGAGCAAATGAATGCAAATTTATTAATAAATATAAAATGAGGCTGCTACTGTGCGCGCGGCGAGCGGCGGTTGTAATTAAATGCTGGCGATTGTATGACCGGCGGCCGTTTTTCAAAGTGCAGCGTGACGTGTGCATTTGAGCATTGGCGCTCAACCACCACAGCCGCCGCCCAACCTGGCAAATAATAATTGCAGCGCATGCACTTTTAATGCGGCTCAGACATGTAAATTGCGCCCCGGCTATGCCAGAGTAAATATGTGAAAATTGTTATTTTGCTATCGTACTCGGCCGCTAATTACACGTGTCAGTGCAGCCCTTTTTGACAGCCACAATAAATCCTCGCGATTTGCATAAAGTCGTGTGCTCTCGAGCGTTTTTATCGCGCATGAAATTTCTTTGGTTTTAATTTCCTTACGCGTGGTGCTGAAAGGAGGGAAAATGTGAGGAAAGTTTATCAATCAACAGTCTGCCTGCGCACCTAGGACATTTCAATTATGCTCCTTATTGAAGCGATTACTTTCTAATCGCTATAGTGCAAAAATCGTTCATCGATCATGCGCGGCAATTAAAAGTTAAATTGCGTCCAATTAATATTTCTGATTTGCATAAGACACTTGATGAAGTATTGCATAGACCATGTTAATTTATTATCATTATGTTTTAAGAAATTATGTGCAAAAAAAATTTTGAAAGAATTATTTACGATAATTTTTTTCATTTTTGAAAACTAAAATATTTTTTTAATAATTTCCTTTAGGTAAATAAATAAAAATCTCCCTAAAAGCTTGTAGTTCTAAGGCTCACAGTTCACTGACCCATTTAAAAGTTTTGTGTCAGTATTTATGCAATAAAACGAGAAATACCTGAGATGGAAAAAAGAAACATGATGAAATTGTATCGACATGGAGCAAAAAGCATCCCTAGGGGCACGTATTTCATTTTCCATTTCGGCTTTTAACAAAAATCAAAGCCTGAGAGGACGCTTTTATTGCACCTGTTGTGTTTACAGTCGTAGAAAAAGTCTATCTCCCCCTGAAATGAATGAAAACGTGTGTGATTCTTCTACCTGGCGCAAACACAGCAAAGGTGCAACGACCTTGTGAAAGCATGAGACGTGCTCTGAAGTGGCGCCGATGCATCCCCTGCATCTTTTTTTCAGCCCCAACTATACACTTTTATTGCACCTCAAACAGAAAAATTCCAAATGAGAAAGATATTTTTTGTCGCTCTAAAATTTACAGTTTTATTGAATGGAATAAAGCAGAGGCAAGTAAAATTTAAAATTAAATACTTTGTCGGCTTCCTTCAAAAAGCAAATATTGCAGTCGTAAATTCAACTTGTAAGACTTTATACTCATAATGCAGAGTCAGTTGAGTCAGTAAATTAAATAACTAAATTTTGTATTTTTAAAACAAACTATAAATATTTATTTCATTAAAATAAATGCAAATAGTTTGATTTTTCTACTAAAATGATGAGAGATCATTTTAATAATAAGCCCCTGCAACACTGACTAAAAATATTTAAGAAGTATAAAGAAAAAAAATAATAATTTAATAAATATTGTTTTTTCCCATATTTCAAGACTTACAATATTTTCTTATTTTCTTTTTTATTTAATAAAAAATAATTTTTAAGACTTACAGCGTTTTTCCTATAATAAAAATATATGATTTAATTCAATCGATAGATAAATATTCTACAAATTAACTAGAATTCTGTTTTACTGATTTTAAAATTTTTTCGTGTCATAACTTGACAGTTTTTTATTTTAGGGCCGGTTAGAAATTTAATTCAAAAGGCGGAATCCAAACAAAGCCTCTGTGCGTTTCGCCGGTTTGAAAACACAATTTTGCTCGCTAATTACCTGAGCCCAAAAGTCAATTAAAATTTGCAATAAATTACCGGCTATGGCCGAGCTGCGCTGGTAACCATTAGAGACTCACCCGTGCACAGTTTTCGTATAATCAAACCCGAAATCCACAATCAGGCCGGTTGTTTGCTCATTTCCGCCGCCAATATAATAATAGATCAAAATTCGGAGCTGCGGAAAAGTTTGCACGCACGTGCGTCACACGGGTGAATAGAAAGCTGCGTGCAGTTTTGCGGCACCTAGGCGGCGATTTTGAATGGGATATTAGTTGCCGGCTGGCGACACAACTAACTAAAATAACGAACAGAGCGAGTGAGAGAGCAGAGGCGGCCAACACACGGGCCTTGTTTTACACATACAGGGCAAAATAGATTCGAGAGCAACGCAAACAGGGTGCTTATCGGCATGACCATAAGTGTGCAGTCTATGCGGCCATAAACCGGGCGCGCACTATTTATGCACGCCATTGTGGCCATTGTTTGTCTCTCGTGTTTCTCATTTTTCGCACTCCAAGTTTGCCAATGTTATTGCCATTATTGTTAATTTTGCTGCGAAACTATTGAAAAGCAACCCGCCGACCGTGCAGCCGCTCGCTCTCGTTATAATGTAATAATATTTAGTGGCTCCGATTATTATTACTCTATATACCGACTGGCCGCGCGCGGCCAGTGTACCTTGAATTACTATTATAATAGTCGGCTAGTATTATCATTATATTGCCGGGGTGTTATTCATTAGCATTAACATGCAGCCGGCCGCAAAATGAGCACAATTACTTTTGGCACAAGTGCTGCTGCGATGCGCAAAATCTCTGTGATTTTCGTTTTTGTTGGCCGCCCAGCCAAAATGAATTGGGTACTTAATCAGTTCCGATCAGTTCCAACTATTAAAATTTGTGCTAGGTAATTATAATTATGTTAAAAAATACTACTATGCAAACATTTGTTGTGATATATATTACTTTAAAATTTTGTTGCTAAATAAATATTTATAATATTTGAATTTTATATGATAAAATTTTTTATTAAATTATTTATTAAAAATATTTAAAAATAAATTTCATGCATAATTATAATTATTACCTTTTTCAATCCCAAACAAACTTTAATTTATTTTGATTTTTTAAAATTTATAATATAAATTATGAAGGGCATACTTATTGTATAGCAACAATTGATTTATCAAAATACTGGTTTCTTCTTCGGCTTGTTCTACAAATAGTAAATCGGCATGAAACTTATTGTATTTGCATATTTTATTCATCTCACAAAACATAAAAATAAACGAAGAGCATTTAGATCAAAATAAAATAAGAAAATAAATATTTTTTCAAATAATTAAAAAAAAAATTAATATAATTCTTTTAATTCTATAATTCTTAATCTTAAAATAAACCTTTCAAAAATTCAAGAAAAAGAATTGGCTTGGATTTCATTTTCAAATATCAATGACTATTTATTTTGAATATTGTACTGACAAAGATTGGATATTTGTTTTTTTCAGTGCAAACTGATTAAATTTTTCAATAAATCTCTTCAACTTCTCACAGTCTCAATAAGGCACAGTTTTATGGTCAAATTTTTTTGCCTAATATAAGACGAAATTAATTGAATGAACCTCAATTACAACTAATAACCGTTTCCCTGAAAATCGTCTTGACCCTCTTCGAATCGAGCAAATTATACAGAGGAAATTATTCCAAACTGACCATCCGCGCCCATACATATAAATCGGCACAGGGGAAAAGGAAAAAGGATTTGGAAGCATGAAATTAATGCAACAAAACAAGAGTATCGTTCTCTCTCATCGCGTTATTATAAAGAGATTCTTACCTTGGGCCATGCAAAAGGTTCGGGTCGCGTCGCCATAAGGTATGCGGCGGCGGCTCCATCGGGACTTTCTGGGCCTGTCTGCAACAATAAATCAAACAAATCACTCTCCGCTTTGATGTTATTAGAGCTTTTGTGTAATAATAATAACAGGCCCAATTGAAAAGCAGCAATTTTCTCTGAATGAGACCAAAGAAAAAAAAGATCTTGGATAAAAAAAATTCAGGCCTGATCAAATCAAGTTGGGGGATTTTTAGATTCAGTTTCTCAGCTTTCTCATATCGTCACTTGTTGACTTGTAAGATTGACCAAGTCCATTTAATCATATTATATGGGCAACGTTCGTAAAATAAGAAATATATCATGCAATCAATACTCTATATGTACAAAAAAAATCTCCAGCATTGGTGAGCAGATGTAAAAAAAAGTGCCAAGTTGGTGATCAATTTTACTAATTTTGTTAAATATTTTTTTTAACTTTACATGTTGCTCAAAACCCCTTAAGCTTTTCTTTGCCATTCATCAATTTTTAAAAGCTATAGGTTTCAAGAAATATTTAATTATTTATGTCTGAGCGCTCTCTGCATAAATACACCGGATTCTCACGAAAAATCCGATAAAAATAAAAATTCTAGAGATCTAAAAGAGCATGTAAGGCAATGTCATGCAAGTTTATTATTTTGACATCTTAATTACAGATAATTAGGATAATTATATTTTATATAGAATAATTTTTAAACACCATTTAGTGCACAAATACATGCACATACAGATACGAATGGATTTATTTTAATTTTCGCCTTAATTTTTAAATCACTTGTGATATTTTAAATATTGCACACATTATGAATAATTCTATGAAATGCTACTCGTCTATCCTGAGGAGTTAGAGTTAAAATTAATAAGTGCATGAAGTATGGTGTAAACTGGATTTATTTATTCATGATTTTTATAATTCTATATAATAATTATTGAAAAAACTATTTTATTGAACAAAACAGATGAAATGATATTTAAAAAAAACTAAATATTAAATTTTGTATAATACTAAATATTTCTCTGTAAAACTAATTACATAAAATAATTGGTTATTATACAAGTTAGAGAAATAACCAAGTTAAAAAAAATATTGAGCAACGCTGAGATGATCACAACTATTTATGAAATTAAAATTGATTCATTTATGTGATCTTATTATTTGTTTAATGAAAATGATATCTCACTGCACCGCAAAACATGTCGAGCCATTCAATATTAAACTTTTAATGCGTGTTGTTGTTGTTACTGCGGGAGAGCCGCGGTGTGGCGTGCAAGTGTACACATAATAATTTATTGTTTTTAATATTGTTTTTGCACCGGGGCTGAGAAAGCTGCTGCCGTGTCTCTGCTCTAATTCGGCTCTCGAGAGGAGGTGCATGCGGCACGTAATAATAATAATATTGCAGAGAGATTCATGGGCCGCTATTAAAAGTGCTCGGCATGTGTTGCCGACGCCACCGCCGTCGCGCGTAATGGCTCTTTTCTCCAACATCTGCATGCCTAATATTAAAACGATATTTTGACCCGCCGCCGCCTCTCTTGTATCCGCTTTCGGATTCCGACCGAGGACCGTCGGGCCCCTGCCGCTTTTGTCAATGCTCGGCTGCGTGGTGCTCAATTAGCTGCTCCATGATGGATTCGAAACACATACCGAACTGCATCCATAGCAGCCAGCGCGGCACACGCCTGCCCGGAATTGCCAATTTGATGGCCCAACTTGGGTCGTTCCGGCCACCTGAATCTCTAATGGCACTAATATCTCTCGTCGTCTCTTTGTGCGCAGTCAATACCTCCATGCTGCTTAGCTACTTTACCGTATACTTATCAAATTATATAATCTAAATTTGATATATTTTTTTTAAATAATCCACAAGGTGCAAAAATAGCTTAAATTCCATATTTTATAATTTTAAGCTAAATAATATGACGTATATTTGGTATGATTTAAATCACAAGAAGATAAATTGTTATTTGTTATGCAATCAGTAACTAAAACAAATCATTATAATTTTAATTACAAAAATATATAAGGTCGTAGTTTCATTCAATAGAATTTTAAAGCGCTGATAATTTGTAATAATTTGGTTTACTTAGTGAATCATTTAGTAAAATAAACAGAGAGCCCTAATTATTTTATAAGAAAATATATGCGGCCGAATAAATGTAATAATAAATAATTTAATTATATAAATTATTTTTAATAAAAATAGCGCTGAATGAATTTTTAAAATATATTTTAATTATATAGCCTTCGTTATTTAAAAATTATCAATGTTCAGTTTTAAAATTGAGAATTTTATAAGCACTTGGACGTTTGGATGTTTCGGGAGAATGCAACCTGCACATCATGGTTTTCATGGGAGTGTCTTATAAAATCTCCAATAAAATTTAGCAATTCTTTAATTGCATTCTTTTAACAGAAATGTGTTGAAACCTGATTTCAAATTAACTGATGAGTACTTCAAATTTTCTCTTGCAAATCACAATTTATATTTTCATGCTCAAGATGTTCTCAGCAGATAAAATGTGGAGGGTTCGTGATAATCAAATTCCATCTCAGTTCTATGGTAATGATCCGTACACGATTCGCACCCGAGCTTCTTGGAATTAATCCGAGACGGCAGCAGCGAATTTAACGGGGTGATTTTGCCGGAGCACAAACATCTCTGCTGTTCCATCGAAACCCTATCTATTGGCTGAACATACAGAATAGCGATCTGTCCCTTTTCGTCAGCACCTCCGGCAGCCCACATAATAATTATTCCAGAGTACAAACCCTGCTCGTGCAATCTCGAGCTCATTAATGGTCAGAGAGAGAGCTAGGCTGGGGTCCGACTTGTATGTTTTCTTATCAAATTAAATTGCAAGTTGAAACTCGAGCCGTGTAGCTGGACCAAAAATTAAAAATCGACCCCTTTTCCGCCCACCGGCGGGAACATGCATATTATTCAGCGACCGTCCGTCCGCCCCCTCCCTGCCCAAGACGTTCGTTTGCTCTACAAGTTGCTAATGCATCATGTCGAGGGGGTTGCGACAAGGGGTGTGTGTAATGAGGGTCACTCGAGGGTGAAAATTAATGGATGGATGTGCGTTGTAGGCCGGTGGATGGCCACAACGAAAACGAAGATTTCTGAAGACGTTGATTTGAGAATCAGATTTTGCACAACGTCAATCCATTTTGAAAACAAAAAATTTATAAAAACGAAAATTAAAGACAAAGGAGATTTGCCATTTAGCCCAAATGGAACAATGGTAAAGGGTAATATAATTTACTAGAAATTTCCTTCTGAAATGACAGGAAATTTTCTCTCTTTTTTTTTAACATTTTTCCTCATCATTGGATTCTTATTTGATTGATAATTATTCACGTTTTTTTTTTAAATTTTAAATTAAATTAAGATAAAGTATAAGCAAGGTTTTTCAGAAGAATTTTTAAATAAAAAAAATTGCACGATAAATTTTTTAATTAATGAATTTCCTCTAACAATTGAATTTTTTTATTACAAAATTATAAATGATGAAGTTATTGAAAATAAAATAATTAATCTAGATATAGTTTGCATCATGAATTTTTAAATAAAAGAGTTGCAAAAAGTTCCTCTCTTAATCTGCTCATAGTTTGTGTATTTTATATAGAATATTGAATGGGGACTCTAATAGGGATATAAGAGTAAAAAAAAATCTGATTGGGTTTCTACGCAGCGTGCGGCTTAAAAGCGAGGAGTGGGCCGATTTAATTACAGAGATGTGTCTCTGCTGGCTGTCTAATAATTTTGAGCCCGAGGACGAGGAAATAGCGCGCGTTTCCTTTAATCAGAAAAGTCTTCCTGTGATCAGCAAATTGATTCTGGCGAAGCAGCAGCTCCTTTGACAGCCGCTGTTTGGACAAAAATCAAAGCTGTTAATTAAAATTCAGCGCAAGCAGATTAATATTTTGACGGAGGAGCAAGAAAAAATAAACACGCTCGTCCCCTCTGAGCTGCGATTTTTCTTGGGCGGTTTCGCCGATTTTTTTTTTTTTTTACTGGCGGCGAGCAACAGGAAAGATAAGACGATTTTACATTGAAGGCTGCTTAATTAATTCCTCTCTCTCGTGGCTTATTTCCTATGCGGGAATGAATTTTGAATTTTCCCCTCTTCGATTCTCTGAATTAAAAAGCGTCATAGAGTGAAAAAAGAAATAAATACGGTCGAGACGCTTCTCGTCTCTCTCTGCTCTCGTGTAATTAGGGGAGGAGGAGACGAGAAAATATTTATCAACTTGTTTCACTTGAACGATCAGAATGAGAAAAAAAAGTAATTGATGGAGGCAAAGGTGTATTTTTAATATGAAAGACGTAAGAACTTGAGCTGATGTGAAGTAAAAACAACTGGCCTGGATAAATAAAAACACAAGATAAACTAAAAACGTGGCGTGCGGTACTCGGTACTATATTAAAAATATGTATGTTAAATATAAAATTTAAATATTCAAGCCTATTTTACCTAAAAAAGCTAAACAGGATAAATATTAATTGAGATTTTCTTAGTAATCTTGTAAAAAAATAGTATATTAATAAAAAAAAGTAATTTTTCACTTGCTAGTGGTGGTGCCGTTTTGTCTAACAATTTCTTTCTTTTCAGATAAATTGTCTTTAATAATTGAATGTAAACAATGTGATGTAACAATTTAAAAATAAACGATATTAATATTTAAAAAAAAACCAGAATTTGTGGTTCTCAAAAAAAATCCGGTGACTCTTTTTTAAGTTCCCTTTGTCTGGCACAAGGAGGGGCGATTTCAAAGTGCAGTAGCAAAACGTCTGTCTCAGCACCAAACAACTTTTACCCACCCACACAATCACGTATCTTGAGTGACCATAAAATAAAACACTGCCTTGCATAAATTTAAATTACACCGACCATAAAATAATATCGGAGAACAGGCAGCAGCTTTTTTTGCAGCTGCAAATGCGAATTATTCATCTTTGGCTCTCCAAAAGGTGTTATTATTTCTGACAGGCCTGACAAAACATTCCCACTTGTGCTTTATGAGTTAAGCAATCAGGTACCTTTTAAAGATATCAAAACCTCTGCAAAACGTCGTACCGGAAAACGGTATCTTTAAAAAATTAAAAAAAAAATAAGTATAAAATTTTTTTTTTTTCAAAATAATTTTTCCCTATCAGCACATTCCAATTAAACATATTATTTTAATTTATTTTTATTTACTTTTATTTCCAAATTTTTCACAGGCATAAGTCTAAAATTAAAGTAATCTGTCATCTCTGCTACTTTTCAAAACCAAAATTCTGTCACTTTGCACCTCTCCCATTTATTTCATACAAGCTTTTGCTTTCAAACAGCCTGGCAAAATGTGCGCCAAGTATGCCTGCGGCTTCTCCATCTCCAGGACTGCGGATTCGAAGTTTGAGCGCGCGGGTCACATCGATATTTGCGCACACGAGGCAAATACCAACACACGAAATGAGCACCCACATAAAACAGCAAATATGCGTACGAACCATGCAAGCCTGTTCGTATTTTATTATGTAAGAGGGCCTCCAAGTATTAATTTGATAGATGCAAGAGCCGAGAGTAATGTGCGGATGGAAAAGGGTTCTCGCCTGAAAATCAGAAAATCTCACTTCTGAATTATTAAATTGATTTTTCTTCTCATCACAAGCAAAATTCGTGAAAGATGAAATTATTTTAAGGGAGTGAAATCATTTATTTTGATATTAATCAATAACAAACTTGTAATTGATGTAGATTAATAATTTATCAAATTACTGTGACTATCTCATATTATTTACTGATATATTTGAAAATGTTGACTTCATTTTCTTATTTATAGACATTATTAATTCTGTTTGAAAATAAAAGCACGTATCGTATACCATCAAAAGTAGGAAAAAAAGAAAAAAATAGTAAGCAACTAAGCCATCGTATTTCTTTTCCATTCATTTTTCATCGTGTAATTGTAATGATAGACATATACCATGCAATGGAAAAGGACACAGAAAAAAAGTTATGTAATCAATATAAAATTCTTAAGAAATTTTCATGTAAAATCTGCCCTCTTATATTTAAAATGAACAATTATTTGGGCTTTTACAAATATACTGTACCCTAATTGACAGATTTTAAATCATGTAAGAATATATTGATCAATTTATTTGAATAAAAGTAATTTAAATATAAAACTGAACAGAAACAAATTTTCATAAAATAATTAAATAATAATTTAACTAAATATACTTTGTAAAAATAATATTTACTTATTTAATCATTGCTCAAATCAAAATTGTTCTATAAATGAAAAGAGTTTAGGAGGTCTAATGAAAAGCCATTCCCACGCACCACATCTTTTTCTCGCTCGGGCCTAATGAGAAGTGGAGATTGTCTGATGATAAATATCTGCGGCCGACCAAGGCCGGTCGGGAGAAGCATTGACACCTCTTCTCATTCTCGCTGGCAACAAATGATTTTTCGCCTAATGCTCGCCGCGTCACGAAACAAAGACCCGCACGAGATGGAGAAAAAATAATGCCGGGATAAATGACGAGAGCCAAACGCAGGTCAAACTCATCCTTCACGCAGCCGAGCATGTGTGTGGTGATGGGAAATGAATAGCAGAAACTCGAGCCGCCGATCAACAAATTGCTTTTCTTTCCCTCGAATAATATTCGGCCGCAGACACGCGGAGTTTAAAAGCCCCAAAAATTAATTGAATTCTTAATATGCCAGGCGAGCGGTATAATTGCTCTTTAATTACCCAAAGCGATTAGAATAAATTTCAATTTTTATCATGAATAAAATAAGCTTTTTGAAGGTTAAAATTTTATTGTCTTGATGCCTTTTAGATATGAAATCAGTTAATAATTACGGACTAATAATTTTCCCTTATGAACAAAACTGAATTATTCTTTTTTTTACCTCAAAGTTAGATTTTCCTGGTAATTTAAAAATTGAACGGATCAAAAGCTAAAAAAAAAAAAACACAGCCATTAATAATTTCCGTCGTCACTCGTCCCGACGAGAGTTGATTTTTTCGGCGTGCACCTGCGCGTGTGGAGAAGATAAAATTTAATCTAACAGAACAAGTCAATAAAAAGGGCATGTACACGCGGCGTTGATTTAAAATGAGAGACGCGAGTTGATATGTTTTTCTTCTCTTTGCTTTGCTGTGAAATCCAATCCAGGCGAGGAGTGAAAATTAGTGAACAGCTTTTCATTGATGAGAAAACTTCTTAAGTCGCCGCCGATAAATAATTTATTATTAACTCGGAGCAGAGAGGGTTCGTTCCGACCGACACTCACCACATTTAAAAACGCACGAGACGATCTTCGAGAGAAACGGAGACGCGTGTGTTGAGAATGATGGATGAAGGGACAACATAACTAATCTCCGCTTTTTCGCCTCGCTTTGCGCGGCACTCAATCTCGAAATCTAATTATAAAATTGCCGTCGACGAAAATGACGAAAAGCCGTCTCTGTCCAAACAGAATTATATAATTAAATTTAATTGATGCGGCCAAATGTGAGGTGGGCGGAGATGAATGTTTCAAAAACGATTTTCTGGAACAGCGTCTACATAATTCATTGTTTTTGTGTCTAATTAAAGGATTTTGTCAATCCATTTAATCTCCGTTCATCTTTCATAAAGCGTCATGCATGTGACCTAAGCTGCAATAAATGATTTGGACCAATCAAACTTTGCTCCCGAAGTTTTCTAACACAAACAGAAAGGATTTAGGTTTTTGTTTTTCATATTTCTTAAATTAAAATTATGTTTTTTCCCTCTGAATCTCATTTTGGATAAATATTTAGTAATTTTTATTTCAATAAAATCAGTTTTTTTTCCAATTTATACTGAAAATGACAAAATTTGAAAAGAAAGAAAAGGCTAATAAATATTTATAAGGAAGTGAATTTTTCTATTTGGCTTCTTTCATTTATTACTTAAAGGAAAAGGCGCGGCGAAAATAAAGTATTTTTTTTTCGAATCAAAAGTGATACATTACTCACCCGAACATAAGCTACCCTAGCGCTCTTTAGCGCCCGCGGAGAAATTTGTAATCAAAATGTGAGATTTGCGTTTCTGACGTCAGACAATCACGACGAGAGAGGGCGTTGCCGGGCTGCCGGCTCGGCCCGCTGTCAAGTTTGTTGTTGTTTCCCCAGTCGGCCTTTATTTCGATTTGGATGCAAAAAGTCGGCGTTGTGTCGGTCGATGGGGTCGACCAGCGTGTTTTGCGTCGGCAGGCGAATAAATTCGAGGTTGCCTGATGATTTCTACACTTCGCGTATGTCGGCGTCGGCACTTTCTGGCCAGTTCAAGAACTCCGAGAGGCAAAAAATATCACCCGAGAACCGAGAACATAATTATTATACAAGTATGTGGGAAAATGTGATTGATTGTCTGCTTGCCTACACACCAAGAAATAATTTCACACAATTATCGCTTTGAGTCCGCCAACCCTCTAAAACACTGCACTTGTATTTCTCAAACATAATGCAAATTTCGTGACTATTTTTCTATTGTTTCATTTTTATGATTCATGGAAGGGAATTATGTAATAAAATTATTTTTACAGGTGTGATGCACTCCAACCCTTCCCCCCGAAGCATGTGCTCTTGATGGATGTCGGTTGCGTCGGCGGAAAAATACAGACGAAAGGTGCCACTGAAGTTTGACTCCTCGGCCATATCGTAGTAAAAAGTAATGTAAATTTTTTCAAAAAAAGTAAAATGTGAAGGAACAATTTGATCCTGAAATTGAATAAATTAAAAATTTTCAAAAAATATTATAAAATTCAAACACTATGTGCCAAATAATTTGTAGAAATTGAAATTATTTTAAAAAAAATTCACTATTTTATTGTTCCAGTTTTATTTCTGGTTTATGCATACCAAATAATGTGTAATAAATTACGTTTACAGGTCTGATGGACCCCAACCCACCCACCGAAGCAAACTAAGCTGATGAGATGCTCGATGCATATCGGTCATGTCGGCGGAAAGATGGACGAAAAGTGCCGGTGTAGTTTGGCTGCTGTGCCCAACCGTAAAAAAAAAGAATAATGTAGAATAGTGAAGTCCAATTTTTTTTATAAAAAAAAAAATCCTTTTTTTTATAAAAAAGATACTTTTTGTTAAAAAAAAAAAAAAAAAAATACTAAAATGTGAAAAATAACTTTGGTGCCGCAGAATAAATTTCTAAAAATGTCCAAATTTTTTTTAAATTCAAATAATTCTATTTGCCTGATAATTTTTATAAATTAAAATTACTTGAAAAATATTCAATATCATCACAATACAATACGTGTTTTTGGATACATCATTAGAAATAAAAATTCAGCTTTAGCATAAGAATAATATATTAGAAATTAAATTGGATTCAATCAACATCAGCTTCCTTGTAACCTTTGTAAATACCATCTTCAGATGGCCACATCAATCTAATGCTATGTACCACACATGAAGGTATAACCTTCCTAACCTTGTGGCCAAGTTTTTCATAATTATTCAGCCATAGTATGAAAACTCTGTAGGCAAATAATCTGTAGTTGGCGTTGTCTTCTACGAGCCACTTGGCTTTTTCTTTTGCGTCTTTGATTTTCGATACGTAAAAGTGTCTGTGAAGCTTGATCATATTCAAATTGAGAACAGCAGTTTTAAAGTCCTCCTGATGTGTGATGCAACTTTTAGAGGCATTTTTCATCATAATCTGATCAACTTCTCTGCAGCACAACGACTCGACCCCCGTTGGCATTGGAATACAGAGCCCACAAGTGCACCAGTGTGCGTTGCTGACCCGATGCTCCAAACGAGACCTCTCATCCTCAGCTTTCTTTTCTTCCAGAAGAATCTGTTGCAGCTCTTCTTCGGTGTACTCAGGGTCAAAATCTAATGAGAAATCCAATTCAGTCGGTGCAATATCTTCCTCCGAACTCGATTCGGAATTGCTATCCATCTGATCTAAATAATAATATTAGTTATTACATATAATATGCATAATATAAATTTTACTTCGGAACAAAAATATTGGTGGTAAACTGGAGACTACAAGTGGGTTTTACTGTGTGAGCTTTATTTTGCAGTCACATGACTGCGAAAGTGTTTCAAGAATGGTGCTTGGTGCTCATCCACCCAGAGAGGTGAACAATCCGAAGGATGATGGTATGTGTTGTGACAAGCTTCATTTTTCAGTCACATGACTGCAAAGGAATTTAAAGAACGGTGCTTGGTGTTGATGCGCTCATCCCACCAGAGGTCAAAAAGCAAAAAGAAACACAGAGAGCCATTTTTCAGCAGATAATATCACCAGTCTCATTGCCAACTAAATATTTATATTTTTTCTCTTTGCCTACTGAGCATCAATTTTTCCGAATCAAATGTAGTCAATCATTTATCAATAATATGGCCAAGTATAGTTGCTTTCTCTGCAATAAAAGAAGCTGCAAAAAGGATGAACGCAGTCTTCATAAGTTTCCTAACAAGGAAAAGAACTCTGAACAGTAAGTTTTAATAGAGATAATATTGCATTTCCTATGGCTTGTTCAACATTTACATGAAAAATATTATAGTTGACACTTATAAAATTGTGCATTATAAATTTCACTTTACTTATAGGCACAAAGGCTGGTTATTGAAACTTGATATAAAGGAAGAAGACTTTGACGGTAACATCCATGCCTTTCTCTGCTCGGAACATTTTGAGGCATCTGAGTTTGAAATTGGTCCAGAAATGAGAAAAAGATTAATGCCAGATTCCTATGGAAACTCAAAGAGACAGCTGAAAGAAAATGCAATACCGACACTAAAACTTCCACAGAAGCAGCTGAAAAAAAAACCGGCTCCTGCTTTGGAAGGTATAATAATTAATAAATTGCTGATAGAGATTGGCAGAAATAGTGTGTGTATCATAAAATTTTAATTGCAGTTTCCAAGCAATGTACTTCCAAATTGGATAAATCTGCTGGCAGAAAGAGAGTCCTTTCAAGTTATTCTGGTAAATAGTCTCTAGGAGTTATATTTGTCCTTCATATTTGTATCATAATTTTTGTTGTGCAGAACCTCCACCGCTCCGACCGTGTGCTCGAGGGTCCAGGGGTGAGCAAGAGCAGAACAATGAATGTTCGGACACACAAGACGATGCCTCAGAGGCGAACGAGGATGATGAGAGCTACGCTGCAGATCATGATGATGAACATGGCAAGGTCTAATTTTAGTCTGCATTATTTTTATTAACCATATACTTTATGCAGATGAAACTTTTGGCCCTCCTGATGATGAGGGATCCTCATCAGAAGATTCTGAATTTGATGAAGATGAGGATAATGAGATGACATTCGGCGGCAAATCTTCGGTTTTCTTTGTCCAGAAGGAGTGTCTGCTGCAACTTTTTAAGTTTTGCCAGCAATGTGGAGCACCAGTTGAAAATACAGAGGTCCTGGAAGTTGGCACACTCGTGACCGTCAAAACAACCTGCTTGGAAGGGCACTTCAATGAGTGGAAAAATCAGAAGTATGAAAAACATTAAATTTTTTCGAACAGTCCTTTTTGCCATTTTTGGCACACAAACGTGAAATTAAATTATTATTGTAATATTATACAAATTTCCTACAACTGAATTTGGGAAACTTTAATCTATATATTTTGTATTGAATATCTAAATATGTTTATATAATTATTACTTATATTATATTTTATTGATTGTTCAATAATGTTGTTTATACTGTTATTTGTTGAAGTTTTTTACTCAACATATATTATTACTAAAAATCAATTGAATTATATGTTTTTCTAAAAAAAAGAAAATAAAAATATTTGTTGAAATATAAATTTATTCATAAATAAAATTTTTTAAGGGTTATTGAGTCACAACCTTTACTGAATGTTGAAGTCTCCTCGGCAGTATTCCTAAGTGGTATCAACTTCGAAGCCTATCAGCGACTTTGCACAGCCCTCAACTTATCAAACATCCACAAAAGTACCTACTTCAGAAAGCTCCGAGCAAATGTTCTACCTGTCATCGAAATGACGTGGCTGCATGAGCATGGAAAGGTGGTGGAAGAATTAGTGACAAAAAAAGAGGAAATCATTTTGCTCGGGGACGGGCAATATGACTCGCCTGGGTATTCTGCAAAATATGTTAGCTATATCATCATGGATTCGGCAACAGAACAAGTAAAAAGGAATAATTTAAATATATGCATGTTTTAAAAAAAATTTTCAAAAAAGGTTGTTGACTTTGTCGTCTTTCAACGAGGCCAGGTTTCAGGAGAGCTTGAGAAAGAGGCTTGTCAGTATCTGCTTCTTAGACTGATGGAGCTAATTCCTCATGAATTATTTGATGGGTTTTGCACTGATCGTCACTCAGGGATACGGGCAATGATGCAAAAGGAACCGTTCAAAAGTGTTCTCGCTCACTATTTCGATGTGCGTTCATATATCATGCATCATTTACGGCACCATGTAATACTGAAAATTTTTATTTTTTAATTAGGTTTGGCACCTAGCAAAAACTTTGATGAAGGTGTTCCAAGCCACATGTAGACTGAAGGTGTTGGCTGACTGGAAGGTGTCGATTGTCAACCATTTTTGGGCGTGCTGTAGAAACTGCAAGGGAGACGGCAAACTACTGGTTGAAGAATTTCAGTCCTTTCTCTTCCACATCCAAAATGTGCACCAATTTGAGGGCAGCAAACTTACAGCATGCCGACACAAGCCCATCACACCTGAAAAGGAGAGGAAGAAAAAATGGCTCATCCCGGGAAAGCATGTAAAAGAGTTGAAGGCGATTGAAAAACTTGTGAACGACAAGAAATTTTGTGCCGACATTCAACATGCTGCTAGATTTGTGCACACCGGTGTGGTGGAGAGGCTCAACAATCAATCGATGAAATACCAACAGAAGTACTGCTCCTTTGGCCACAGAGCCATGGTTTGCAGGAGAGCGCTTGCCTGCTTGGAGCAGAACAACAAGTTGAGACACCCATCAGATGTTGTTGCTCTGGATGACATCTACGTCAAACAGTCCGGTCGTCGGACTTTGCGGAAAAGGTACCGAAAAAGGGCAGATGATTGGCGACGACATCTCCACGAAAGCATAATTGCAGCTCTTGTCTTCCCTCATCAATTCCACTACGACGAGAACTCTGTGAAAAAGTTGCTATATGAGAAGCCTATCCCCAAAAACATCAGCAAAAAGCCTCCGATGACTCCAGAGGAAAGAGCCAGAAATTTGATGTCTCGTCTACATGACTGCGGGGTTGTTGATGAAGAAGCTGAAGATAGTGAATAAAAATTCATCTGGCTAACACTGAATTTTGATTTCAATTGTAACCAAAAACACTAATTGTATTTGGATTATGTTAATATTTTTAAATTGTGACGATATTGAATATTTTTCAAGTAATTTTAATTTGTAAAAATTATCAGGCAAATAGAATTATTTGAATTTAAAAAAAAAATTGGACATTTTTAGAAATTTATTCTGCGGCACCAAAGTTATTTTTCACATTTTAGTATTTTTTTTTTTTTTTTTTAACAAAAAGTATCTTTTTTATAAAAAAAAAGTATTTTTTTTTTATAAAAAAAATTGGACTTCACTATTCTACATTATTCTTTTTTTTTTTTACGGTTGGGCACAGCAGCCAAACTACACCGGCACTTTTCGTCCATCTTTCCGCCGACATGACCGATATGCATCGAGCATCTCATCAGCTTAGTTTGCTTCGGTGGGTGGGTTGGGGTCCATCAGACCTGTAAACGTAATTTATTACACATTATTTGGTATGCATAAACCAGAAATAAAACTGGAACAATAAAATAGTGAATTTTTTTTAAAATAATTTCAATTTCTACAAATTATTTGGCACATAGTGTTTGAATTTTATAATATTTTTTGAAAATTTTTAATTTATTCAATTTCAGGATCAAATTGTTCCTTCACATTTTACTTTTTTTGAAAAAATTTACATTACTTTTTACTACGATATGGCCGAGGAGTCAAACTTCAGTGGCACCTTTCGTCTGTATTTTTCCGCCGACGCAACCGACATCCATCAAGAGCACATGCTTCGGGGGGAAGGGTTGGAGTGCATCACACCTGTAAAAATAATTTTATTACATAATTCCCTTCCATGAATCATAAAAATGAAACAATAGAAAAATAGTCACGAAATTTGCATTATGTTTGAGAAATACAAGTGCAGTGTTTTAGAGGGTTGGCGGACTCAAAGCGATAATTGTGTGAAATTATTTCTTGGTGTGTAGGCAAGCAGACAATCAATCACATTTTCCCACATACTTGTATAATAATTATGTTCTCGGTTCTCGGGTGATATTTTTTGCCTCTCGGAGTTCTTGAACTGGCCAGAAAGTGCCGACGCCGACATACGCGAAGTGTAGAAATCATCAGGCAACCTCGAATTTATTCGCCTGCCGACGCAAAACACGCTGGTCGACCCCATCGACCGACACAACGCCGACTTTTTGCATCCAAATCGAAATAAAGGCCGACTGGGGAAACAACAACAAACTTGACAGCGGGCCGAGCCGGCAGCCCGGCAACGCCCTCTCTCGTCGTGATTGTCTGACGTCAGAAACGCAAATCTCACATTTTGATTACAAATTTCTCCGCGGGCGCTAAAGAGCGCTAGGGTAGCTTATGTTCGGGTGAGTAATGTATCACTTTTGATTCGAAAAAAAAATACTTTATTTTCGCCGCGCCTTTTCCTTTAAGGTATAGTTGAAAAGAGAGGCAAACAAAGAAAGACACAATTCACACGTATAATAAAAAGAAATCCGTGTGGAGCTGCCCACATTTCATGCTTTGGTGCTATTTATCATCGGCTGCTTTTTGCCGCCTGCGTTCTCGTTTTGTTCATCTCTCGCTCATGGAAAAGGGCATTTCAAACATAATGAATTATCGATTCCCACCGTCCATTCAATCAACATCCACAGGCTGAAATGAAATGCGTTTCTGTGTACATAAAACGAATTTGTAAGTGTGCACGTTTTTGTTACACCGAGAGGTGGCGACAGCAAAAAACAAAGTCATTAAAATAATCCGCGCGCGTTATTTTTTTTCCTTTTCTTTGTTGGCGCGCTTCGGCGTTTTCTTAGTTCGGCTCTCTCAAGGTAAACAGATATGGCTATTCTTGAGACGAGTTATTATCTTTATATATTATTTTATACACATTGCCGTCCAAACACACCAGCAGCAGCAGCTCAATATTAAAAAGCCGGCCCGACAAACACAATGAGAGCTCTGGTGTTTTGTTGTGTGCTGAGTGAGTGTGCCGTGTGATTATTATTATTCCTCGTGAGGCCGACGGACCGACGGATGGATGGATGATAAGTCGATCATGATTGGCTGCTTTTTGTGTTTGATGAAATGGCTCTCATCATCAGAAATTACCTTCCCAGTCGGCTCGCATTTAATGCTACACACTCTTCTGCTGTCTGCGGTAGTTGAAACATAAACCAAAACCATAATTAGAAATAATAATGGACGACGATTCAAAATCAACAATAAATTTTAATGGTGTTTTAAGCACAGAACACAATTATTAATTGGAATAATATCAATGGGTTTTTTGTAATCAGAATACCATTAATTTTCAAAAGAACCAATATTGCTAGTCAAAGGTATCCCTCAATATTATAATCATAATGTTATTGATTTGATGCGCTATAAAGTTATCTCTAAAAATAACATTACGTAAAAAATAATTTTTTGAAAGTGAATAATACTCATTTTTGAAAATCAAGATGTGGAACACTAAACATGTTGAATAAAATATATTTTTGTTATAAAACAAAAAAATTAGTTTAAATGCAGTTAAAAAAAATTATGTTATAAATTTAGGTTATAAAAATTTTAAAATAACTTTGGTACAAATTAAATTGCTTTTTATTTTAAATAATTAAAAAATGACTTGAACAGCTTTTCGTATAAGAATAATCTTTTAGAAGTTCATGTTCCTGGGCGTTAATTTTTTTTTCAATAAGTCATCAACTTATCAATTTTCCTGAGTGACTTGTTGCAAGAGAATAAATTAATTGAATTGAAGAAAAATAGTTAAATAAATTTGTATTTTCTTCTACACGACAGACTGTATAATATATTGATATTGCAACTTCTAGATCTAGAATTGAGAACAACAACTAATGGTTAGCAATTGAAAAAATTTTTCTCATCATTGAATTCCTAATAAATTTCATTTTTATTTGGCATTAGAGGGATTTCAGATTCTGCTTATAAAGTTATCCCCTGACTAAAATCCACCATCCAGAGTTTGCTCGATACATATTTTGTTTTGTGCTTTGGGCCGCGGTCCTTCTTGGTTATTGTCAGTGGCGGGGTGGTTTGTACAAAGGCTTTGGCCCAACCAAACAAAAGCAACGTGCTCCCAAGATGATTGTTCTTTCTTGTTTACCTCATTTCCAGACAAAAGACGAGCTAACTCGCGCACACACACAGATGCCGCGCTACTAACTTCTTGTCGGTCTTATATTTTACTATACGGCTCTCTTTGTATTGCAGCGTGGATCCGCGATCGATGATTTATTATTAATTTAAGTTTCACACAATGCTACCGCCACTCTGCAGTTCAATTTCGGATGATTAATTTTCGACCTGGGCGAGCGACGCAATAATTTCTCTCTGTACCCAGAACTTTCAATTTGTACAGGTGCTCAAAATAGAGGTAAATTATTATTATAGCGATTTACAATGTTCCTTAAAAGCTTTTGTAAAAAAAAAAAAAAAAAAAACAGGAAATTACATTTTTTTATAGACTGACTGACACTTTCTTCCTTTATTTTCATTTCTCTCTGCATTTAGCCAAATTATTTATAAATTTTCCTTTCATAAAATGGTCACAACCTTTATTTTCAGAAATAGCTTTATTCTTAAATCATAAAATTGACTCACTCCATACGAATAATAAAATTAGTGTAGATTGTATTAATTTATAATTATTGAATTAAAATATCAATAGGTGCTTCTTACAATTAAAATGAAGTCTCGACAACCAATTAAAAAGAATTTTAAATACTTCATTAAATTTTAAGTTGATTTAAAAAATTGATGTTTTTTTTTAGCCATCCAGGGCACAAAATTGCCAGTTTAAGCTGCTAGTGGTGCTGCCTTTCCACATCTCCACTCGCGCAGCATTTAATAATGAGGACACCCCGCGGACTCATTTGAATAATTAGAGTCGAAATGAAGCAATGAGAGCGGGCATAAAAGTGAGAAATGGCGCTTCTCTGGCTGAAAATTGTTCCGCTTTGATCGCGGCTCATTTGATTAGAGCTGCTGGAAGGGCGCGAGAGAATTAATTGTCAGCCGGCATCAGACTCAAATGCCTTTGATTATTGTCTAATCTGGCGCGTCCCTCTGCAGCACGAAATCGTGTTTGCCGAGCAAATCTTGGCTGCTTCTCCGAGAGGGAGAGAGAGTCGATTTGAATTTATCTCGGGGCACGCTTGATGCAGCCGGCAGCACCCTCAGTTTATTTTCCGATGAATTGCTCGGCGACAACACTTGCTCATTTGAGCAACAAATAACTCTCACCCATTAATTGAGCCGCTGCCTGCCCAACTGTGAATTCGGAATTTCGTCCGCCCGCCGTGTGCTGTTCAGTCACACGGTGCTGATTAATTCTCAGATTTACTCTCAAACGCGGAAGAGAGTCGTGGTTTTAAATTAATTGGAAGGAAAGCGATTTGTCACTTTTCAGACTCGTCTGAAACCCGCTCAGAAATAAACAATCCAAATGAAATTTCTAATTTAATTTAAAACACTACTTTACTTAACAAATATATGTATGTTGAATTCAAAATTAATTGGTCTATGCGAAATGGGATATACACTGCAGAAATTTAAGAAAAAATTAAACAATTGGTGATCATTTTTAAAAATTATCCTTTTTTCAAATACTACACCTGCTCATTGATTTGAAAGGATCGCACGTTCGTTTGAAGAATTTATAAAGTTTTAACGTAAAAATACCCTGTCAGTATCAACAATAAATTTTGAATCTTAAATTCTCAATTATTACAAAAGAAAATAAAATTATTAAAAAATATAATGCTGCTTAACTTAAATAGAAATACTAAAAGCAATATGTTCAAGTAAAATTACAATTATCAGATTATAATGATACTGTTTTTTTCTATAATTAATTTTTTTCTATATTTAAAAATTTCTTTAACAAATAATATAATTGCGTCTTGCAATTTTTTTTTTGTTTTATTATTTAATTATTTTAACAACCTTTATTATATAAATTAAATAAAATACTTTTTAATTTTTTTTTCAAATATTCAAAATAGTTCCACCAACATTTTAAGTGCAACATCTTCATAAATATATAGTAACCCATTTAATAGTATATATTCCAATAATAAATTAATTTCCTATCATTACCAATTCAGATTAACACTTTGATCAAAAGCTTTACTCCACATCTTCGCATTCTTCGCTAGTGGTATTGTAATTATGTTAAAATAATTTATTTCCTACATCTTTAAAATGAATAAAATCTAGGTATTTGAATATTGCAAATATTGTTCATCTTTTGCTGCGTTAAGTATTTTATTCAGAAGGTTGTGTGATGGCAAATTGCTTGAAAATTAAATTAAATTTAGAGCCAATTATTATTTTTCATTTTTATTATAAATCAAAATTATTGCGAATAGTATTTTAAACAAATCGCTCTAAATTTATTTATAAACAGGAATGAACAGAAGCTACTCACGAGAGCAAAGTTGTTTGACCTTCCCTGATTCACCTCATTGAAAGCGGCGGCTGCTTCTTTACACGCGTATTAATTTACATTCTAATGCGGGACAAATTTAAAATGCGAAATTGAGCGCTTAACGAGCCATATAAGGGCGCGCAAACGAGTCGAATAAAATCTCATTTCACGTAAAAATCTGTGTTGCTTCTCATGAGCTAGGCAGCAAGAAAATAAGTAGAATTATAAATATCAATGGCGGCAGCCGGTTCTCATAAATAAATTATTAATTCCTGTGGCTGTGTATTTCCTCCCTACTACTCGACTTTAATTCTACATTGCGTGCCGCGATCCGAGCTCACATAATAATACAACAATAATGGCATAGTCGCGCGCTCGCCGTCTGATTGGCCGCGCTTGTTTTGTCCAACAAAATCGCATGAAACACCATGCAAATGTATGTAAAAAATCCCTCTGATGGATTCGGCCGCCGTACAATCGGTTGCTGCTTGTTTTAATTTACAAATGGAAGCCCTGCTTTTTTACTCTCAATACGAACTCAAATTATTATTACGCGCGCAGCCCTCTGCTGGAGAATGAGAAAATACTTTTTTTCTTCGGAATGGGTAGCAATTACAAAACCATCTCTGTAATGTGACTTTTATTCATGAGGCGCGATGGAAAAGAGAGGCAGCTTCTGCGCTAATATCTCTCCTCGGTGTATCCAGACACGGATTTTTATTACACACGAGCGGCCCTCTGAACCAAATTAAAATTAAACAGTGGAAATGCGAGAGGAGCTTGAGCATCTTGAAATCGGTTCTTTTC